GCTACCGCGCTAAGTTGAGCATTGAACCTGCTTCATAGAACAGGCCCCTGATGACCCCCTATCCTGACCCTGGTGCAGGGCCACAAACACAATTCAATGTGGCTCTCTCCCGCACCAGGGTCAGGATAGAGATGACCTTTGGCATCCTGAAGGCTCGCTTCAGCTGCCTGCATGACCTGAGGGTGACCCCACGCCGGGCCTGCCGCATTATTACATCGTGTGCTGTGCTGCACAACATAGCCACTATTCGGAGAGAGAGGGTCCCACCCGCTGACCCACTCCCCCCCGATGTGGTGGATCCGATCACATTAGACCATCCCACCGGCAGGGCTGTGCGGCGGGCTTTAACGGAACAATTTTTCACATGATTTGGCACTTTTGGTTTACAAAGAGAGGAGACAGAGACCTTTGACTTCCTTTTTTTTCCCTCTTATTAATGACATTTGTTGTTAATCCTTTTGGTCCCTTCTGTCTCGTTCCTGGAATGGAGAGGAAAATTTTAGTTGGACTACATTTCAAGTTGTGATGTGGCAGCTCTCCAAACATTACCTTCTTTTCTTCGAGCAGTTTCTCCACCTCGAGCTTGGCCTTCTTAATTAGCAGCTGCTTTAACTCTATATCCAGCTCGAGATGTCTTTTATAAAGTGCCCTTACATTGTCTCTTGCAGGCTGGGGACAAATAATGCTGTTGAGAACCTTTTACATTTACACATTGTCAGTGATCAAAGCTCAAAATCCAGGTTACGTCAATACCTCCCGTGCTCTCCTTGGCCTTGGCCTTGGGCTGGGGCTGGGGGGGAGGGTCACACGCTCCGGGGGGGATCTCCTCATCCTGCACATCATAGCATGAGAAAAAAATGAGACAACCTGAAGCAACACGTGGTCCTGAGTACAGAATGACACTTGTGGCTTTTTCAGGATGAAGCACCGTCTTTAGTGTGGTTAAGGTTAAATAATAACATTAGTTTAAGTTTCACCTCTGTTTCATTTTGTATCTGCATTAACCATAGGTCACTTAGATATTTTACATCAATGTCATGCGTGTGGGAATATACATTGGGTCTTATTATTCACTGCAGTGTACCATTTGTGGCCTTGTGGAGCAAACGGAGACCGTCTCTTTATCCACCTGGAAAAGGACGACAAGAAAATGCTCAAGTTAATCTGTCATTGTTCCTGCAACCATGATGTGTATTCTTTTTTTAGCAGGTACCTCTAAAGAAGTCAGCCTGTGACTTGGTTGTGGCCGCAGTTGGATGGTGCCAGCCTCGACTGGTGAGAGAGCGAGTATCTGTTATTTTTCATGGGGGGGGGGGGAGTGTTACATGTGTAATTTGCAATTCTGAGTGGATTATTATCTTACCCCGCAACAGTTTGGCCTGGAGGTGACTGCTGCCACTTCCACACGGATCTGTGGAGATGCCCCCCACTACGCCATCCATTAGTGGGCGACCCCGATGGCTGCAGAGGGCCAGCTCCTCTGCAGGAGTGAAATCTGGGGGAGGAGGCCCCCCCCAGTTCTTTTCCCCTCTGCTTTCTTTCTGTTGGCTGGGGGGGGTTAGTCACTTAATATCTTAATTGTATCTTATCTGATCCAATTGATGCTGAATTCAATTACCACTCTGAATGATGTTTTTGTACTTCGTGCGCACCTGTTCCCACGTGAGCTTCGTGCCACTTTGATTGGTGCTGAAATGAGATTCAGATTTAGAGTCACAACACAGTACATGACACTTGCTACAGGTAGTTAAAGGGAATAAAGAACTCTCATTGCCGTAACAAGATCTCCAATGCCAACACTTCTGTTCCATTAAAATATTTTATTACCTGTCTTAAAATTGTGACAGGAATTCATCTAAGGCTCATATGGCCTACATATCACACAAAAAATGTAAACATAATAGGAATGAAAAAATGAATGAATTAATCTTGGAAATGAATTAGACATGTCTGGCGCATGTTGAACAGTGCTATTTCAGGGTGATAATGGCATCAAAGATTTTTTGCGCACTGTACTTACGCATTGAGACTGTCAGCAATTTTCTGCCAGCATTCCTTCTGTGCTTTGGAAGCGGCGACGGTGTTGCTCTTCAAGTTTATGACTGATTTCAATTCTTCATACTTTCATAAAATTGTCTCCTGCTCCTTGTTCGTGAAGTACGCGGTCCTTCGCTCTCCGGCCTGCTCTGACGCTCCAGACTGGTCCATGTTCGCGATTGGTCAGATGCGGCGGGCTCCACCTTATATACGTGCACGTGCTCATAGCAAAGCTGAATCCACTTAAGAGGTTGATAACCAGCGTCGTAAAACCGTTTAGCGAGACCGCTGGCTACCGTGCTAAGTTGAGCGAGGTAGCTCCAAGGCTACCTCGCTAGGTTGAAATTGCTTCGTAGAACAGGCCCCAGGTTTGTGTACGTGATCAAGTTTTTCATGTGTTTTAAACCTTTATTAGATCAGGCCCTAAGCCTTTGACCAGGAAGTCCTCACCACTGGGCTCTGACGAAGTCGGGTCCCTGGACTTGGAGAGGTGAGGATCGTGCAGAGCTATAGCTGTCTTTCCTAATATTCTCTCCACAAACTTGACCCGCCTTTTCAGGGTTGAGCTCCGAAGACGGTGACAGGACTTACACAACTCGGGCTCAGTCAACGCCTTCCTGGCGTGGACAATCCCCAGGCAAACGGGGCAAGCCTCCTGGAGATCTTTTTCGTGAAGGGAGAAGCCACACCCCTGAGAACAGGGCGAACAGAACAGAAGACTTCGCCTTCACTTTCGTAGGCTCAGCACTCATAACAAGACACAGAAACCGAGCGCTCCGTGGGCAGCCGCAGGCTAATAGCAACTGGGGAAGTTAAGCTAAAATCGAACAGGCAGTAGCCAAGACAAGACGAAAAAAAAACGGACAAGACCAAGCTAAGCTAGCAGCAGCTAGTTATCCCGACTCCATGGAGGTGTTCTTAGCAAGGTAAAGAGCGTAAATACTGAAACATGACTGTGGTGTTACACGTATAAATGTGTAGACAGAGCCTCCCAGGCGTCACCACAGATCATCTGCCATAAGGCAGGAATAAAGGTGTCTTCAGTCAGGCCACGCGGGGGCGTGATAGCCCATACTATATGCGTTATACCAAGTGAATCGACTGAAAGGGAACTAGCCCTTGCAAAACTGAGCCAGAAACAGAGTTCACTGGACAGAGAAAGGGTTGATTTTGCATTATAGTGAATTGATGTTAACCCGTTTGAACTGGGACAGCATGTACGCATTTTAGCCTTCCAAGCTGGCAGCGCTGCTGTGAATTGTTTGATGCTTCCTTCCCGGCAGACTGCAGTATAGAACAGAACACTGTAGACATCACAGACTGATAAAACATCTTCAGCACTTTACTACAGATGTCTATTGATCAGAGTCTTCTCAGACAAAAGAGGCGGCTCTGCCCCTTTCTGTAGATGAAGTCTGTATTCTTAGACCAGTCCAACTTATTATCCAGATGTACACCTAGGTATTTACATGATGTCACCATTTCATTGTCCACTCCACAGGTGTTCACTGGCTGAAGAGGGGGTTTGGATCTACGGAAGTCTATGACCATCTCCTTTGTCTTTGAGGTGTTGAGGAGGAGGCAGTTTTTGTGACTCCAGTCACTGAAGGCTCTTATTAGATCTCTGTATTCAGCTTCTTGTTCATTTCTAATACATGCCACAAATAGCGGTATCATCTGAGTATTTCTGGATGTGGCAGGACTCAGTACTGTATTTGAAGTCTGACATGTACAGTGTGAACAGAAATGGCACCGGCACTGTCCCTTGTGGAGCCCCTGTACTGCTCATTAATGTCCCAGAATCACAGTTCCCCAGCCTGACAAACTGTGGCCTTCCTGTCAGGTAATCTGTGATCCAGGAGTAGGTACCCACCCCAGCTGTAGGGTTGGGTATTGTTTGATTTTGAACGATTCCGATTTCGATTTCGATTTCGATTCCTCATTTCGATTCCGATTCCTATCGATTCTCTATTTCGATTCTTTTAAAAGGCAGGATATAGAAAAAAAAAAAAACATGGTTTGAATGAGGGCGCTAACCGGAGCTCTTCTTTTTGGATGAAATTTCTGAACTTCTCCATGAATTTTCAAATTCTATTAATTTTAAGAACTTTAATATGAATTTCTCACAGGGCTATTTTCAACCAGTATATAAATATCAATTTTTGTTGTCAGGTTGTTGTCAGGTTGTTTGTCTATGAAAAAGTACAAGGGCTAACGTTAGTTGGATATTTAAGTTTACTCACCGTACACAGTACAATTTGTTTACCGTTTCAAAGTTAGCAGAGGACAGAAGTAATTTATTGTTTCACTTATCTGATCCTGACTGGTTAGCGGAAGACAGGTGTTGTGCTGTAGAATGCACCCCTGCCGTAGAATGCATCCCCTCCACTCATTAGCTTCTTAAAGTGGAAGACAATGATCTCATATTTAAAAAAAACACCAGTATTAGATCATGAAAACATGTCAAATGGAGCAGTAAACTTTCGTTTTGTTTTTATGTGTCTCAAAAATGCACACATAGAGGTGTACTTGGGTATATAAACTGTACAGTAAGCTGTTAAGGTAGAGAACATTATATTTTCGGGACAGTAAATATTCTGAATCAGAGGGCTATTGTTTTTGGCATATCTGAATAGTCTGAACGAAATCATTACAGGCACATGCTTTAGATTCCGTCCAACGGTAAGAAAAACTTGGATTATTCGCCTTGTTAAATACTTTCAACCGCGCTCCCGTCAGGGGGTGCATTCTATGGCAGGGGTGCATTCTATGGCACAACACCGGCGAAGCGCGTCAAAGACGAGCAATCGGGTATTTCTCCTCCATGAATCCTGAGGTGTTAAATCATGTTGGTCGTTTACCCTCCTTTGCATGATATAACTGTATTGCTAATGTTGCATTGAGATAAGAGAAATTTGAAAAAAATTTGTTAGGGAGCATAAGTCATGTGTAAACAACCAAAAATCATGGTGATATACAAGCATAAGCTAAAACCTTCATATCAGGAGTATTCATCATGATACTAGAAACAGAACGTCTTTCCCAGGAATGTGTAACCTTCTATGTCTCAACTAATAGCATGTCTGCAATGAGCACAATAAACACATAAATAACTGAATGAAACACAAGTGAGGAACACACACCAATCTTTGGATAACATAACACATACACAGATGCAGAGTCCGGCTGTTAACACTGCCAGGGAATTTAGTTGACACAGAGCAGACAAGCACACATCAATTCAACTCACACACTTCACTTTTTCATCACACAGTGGTATACCTTTTCACACCTGTTTGTCTTAAGTCAGAGTCAGTCACTACGGTCAGTCAGTAGTCTTCACTTTCTTTACCTTTACTTTACATTTAAACATGTGACATTCCTACAATTGGTCAGGAGATCTGGAAAATGTTTGTGTGTACAGGATCCCTGGATAGACTGCTCAGTCTATCCTTATTTGACCTCTTTTTGATCTTCTGCTCATTAAGACAGTCTGTATCTGTAATTTAAGTCCAATTATAAAACTGATTTCATAAGGTCTTTGGCTTTTGCCAGAACTATAATCAGAAAATTATTAGTGACTTATTTCTAGTTATTCCTTTTAGCTTTTTCTTAAGCCTCAGCGGAACTCCACATGATAAACTCTAAATGTTCTGGCAGACTGATAAGTTTTGGTCCCTGCAAAGCAGCCTAACTTACAACCTCCCAGTTATGAGACTGCATAAGTAGGCCAACCTAGATTATTTGTAACCCTTTCATAAAAGATAATCGCTCCATATTTCTTAACCTAAATGTATGGAATGTACATATATATTAGAGGTACAAGCGTTACACAATCACTATATTCAGATACATACGTGACAGCATGAAAAGGAGTTGAAGAGAAGCTTAGGGAGGCTTTTCCTCAAGTTTGATCAAGACTCTGTCATCTGTACTGATTTCTACATCTGCACAATAAAAGACGACCAGGCTGCTCTTCAGATCTCATCCTGTCTCCTGTGCATTGTTTTTCTGAGTTTATGTTGATCTTCCACAACAATCTTTGCTAAGATATGCCTGAAATGTAAATATATATATGGATGATCTTTGACCAGTGTTTATCAAGAATGATTTCAGTCCCTTTCAAGGATCCTTTCCCTCTCTCTGCCCTCTTCCAAAGGGCCATGCTGACAGGCACCTAAGGCCCATGCAGGTTGCCCCGTCACATGGTGGAGGACTCTAGTCCACAGGTCCTGATGAAAATCAGTAACTTAAGTCCTAGGGTCAGCTGGAGATACAAGGTCTGTTTTTGTCAGCTTTTATACTGACAAAGAACACATGGTAGTTTCTTACAGTCTTGCAACAAACACAAAAGTGGTTGCTGATGTCTTCATTCCAAGACTGAAGGAGGGTACACCCCTTTTGTTTATAAGAAGAGGATTTGATGTAGATTATTTCAAAAGTACAATCTAATCCATCAACAAAGCAAACACAAATTTACAGCATGGATTATTTTGCTTTGGCTCTTGGGCCTGTGCCACATATCCAGGGTGTGTGGGGCAGTGCCTTCATTATATTGTCCGTAGGAGAAACAATTCAAATACAACCTTTTTTTTTCTTTTTTATCATACAGATCTGTAAGTATATTAACTCATGGTGAGGGGCTCAAAGTAGAGTTTCAGCCTCCCCTAGTTTAGCCCACATGTTCATCAGCTGTCATCAATGTTTTGAATTTGGACTGCAGTAACCATTTTTAAACACAGGGTGTCAGACTTGTTTATTGTTCTTTTAATCAGCTTCTAAACATGAATTGACTCGAGTCATGACAGTTTTTTCTCTCAAAAAAGGTAGTGTAAATGTGTGATGATGCTTTGTGGCTTATTTAGGAAAATATTTGCATTTTGCAGAGCTCTGAGGAGGAGCTTTCTCAAGAGGAGTAGGAAACTAGTCGTGGTTTCATTTGTCCACTTATAGGACTGGAATCCTCTTGACTATACGAGGACATAAACCCAGATGTCGATCATCTCTTTGAAAGTAAAAAACCATGAAGAGGACTCTTGGTCTAAAGTTTTCTCTGTCTAACCCCAAGTGAAGTCATGTGTCCTCTTGTAGGTGTCTCCTCTGTTCACATTCAATGAAAGGTATCCTGTTGACATGCTGCTTCACCAGGAGCATTTTGAGGTCAAGGTTCTTGCCTTGAGGATAACTTTACATGCAGGATTTCTACTACTAACTACTCTACCAGTGAGCCACATCAGCTTTGAAGGATAGAAACTGTGCCATGAGCTCAGCACATAAAGCATCCAACTTCAGACCCAAGCCTTTAGTTTTTCTGACAAACAGTCAATGCTAACAGATGAAATAATTACACACCAGAGTTTTTGGACTTTTTGGTTCTATAACCAAGAGTTTTAATTTTAGAAGACATTCCAGCATCACTGTGAAGTCACTCGACATTAATTTGTATTTCTTAAAACCACTAGAGGTCTCTGTCCACAAGCTGAATCATAACCCTCTTTCTGAAGGGAGTTGGTTTCTCCAACATCAGACAAAACAGCAAATATTTATTTGTGTCTACATTTATAGTGAATTCAGAGCCTCTCCTCTCTTTGAGCTTAACATCATAACTCAAATTCACCACATTTTGTTTCACATTAATACAGAAAATATACATATATCATCACTGTGTAAAACAGTAACTGTCCTTCTGCCACAGTTTTTCACAGTTTATTTCTACTTACCACACTGAGCCCACCAGTCCACTGGTTTAATAACAGCCTATTGAGGGATTATTAAATGTGTTGATACAGAGTAGTGTCTGCTCTGTTTACCTCTCATCATCTGTTCATCTCTCTCTCTCTCTCTCTCTCTCTCTCTCTCTCTCTCTCTCTCTCTTTCTCTCTCTCTATGTCCCTGTCTTCCATCAGCCATCACTTTGATGCTATTCATTTGTTTTTTAATTTAAGTATTGTAGTTTTTATCTTCCACTGACCTCCCAAGCCAAACAGTGTTTTTAATCAGGAATTTTCTGATGTTTTATCATATTTTTGTCAAAACATGACAAATTTCTTATATTAGGTGGTTTAAACATTCATGTATGCTGTCGTTCTCAGGCTTTTACGTTGATTTCATGGACACCTTAGAATCTTTTAGTCTCACACAGTCTATTCAAGTCCCCACTTATTCAATAGGCCATATCTTAGATTTAGTTTTACACCATGGTCTCACCCTCTACAACTTTGAATTAAGGATATCTGTGTGTCAGACCATCTGTTGGTTTTAATTATTGCTGTTTTATCCTTTTTACAGTATTAACAGTAGTCCCCACTCCTGTCATGTTTTTATTCCCTTATCTGCCAGACCGTTTTGTAAGCTTTTTACTGCTGCTTCTTTAACTGCTTTGACTCTAGCATTTTAATCACATTTGTAAAACCACTCTATATTCACCATTGAGTCATTAGTTTTAAAGAGCTAATATTTTTTCTGAAAAATCCCAAAAATACCAAGAGCAATTCGGCTTCAAATTCGTATAATGATGGAAGGCAGAGCCAAATATTCTATAGTATATACAGTCTATAGTGTAGACTGTAAGCAAAGAGGAAACACAAAACATGAAATGGAAAGTAGACGGAAAAAAAAAAAAGATAACTTAACCAGTGAACATAACATATTCAAGCACAGTGAAACATAAAACAGTTAATTCAGAGTTTTAGATCAGATGGACTTGAAAAAGAGTGATCATTTTTTTGTTCCAAAATAACTTTTTTTCCCTTTTGAATTTGTGTTTACTAACAAAAAGCATGCTTGTGTTTCATTTGAACTTTATCAAAAAACTGTTTGTGAATAAAATGAATTTTTAGAGCTCAAAAAATAGTTCAGCGAGGGAAGAAGATTAGAGCTGGGGAGTGAACTGAACCCTAATAGAGCCCTGACATGAAGCTGAGGGTGTTTTGTTCAATAATAAATCCCAGACTGAGAAAGCAGACTCCCTAAAAGCCTATTGCCTATTTTCTGTTGAAGCATTTAGGACAGACAGTAGTTTCAGGAATTGATCATTTCAGGCTTCAAAAGTGAGCGACTCTCCTTTGAAACTCATATTTATGTATCTGGCTCCACAGCAAGAATAAATAAAAAGGTTTGAAAGTTTTAACCCTGCATACTCTTCTTTCAAAAAAAGGATGAAAACACAGATATCACTCATGTTTGTAAAAAAAAGCTAAAAATAGGAGGTCGTTGGCCTCGCTTAGCTTAGCTCTCAAAGCTCAGGAGTGGGTCAGTGTTTGGAATCAAACGCGTTCATTCACTGCATCCTACTCTCTACCTGCAGGGTGTTGTGTAGAGGACTTTCAGTGAGCTCATTGGCACATAAAAAAACACCACTTACTGTCTCCGTAGAGGCTGATATTGACATCACTGCAGTCAACAATAGTGAAATAAACATCTGAAATTTCAGTGATAACCACTATGATACTCAGCATGTCCTTGCAAAATAATTAAATTATATTAAATCAATTTAAAATGACATTATTTTACAATAAGTAAAAACATATTTTTGTACCTTTACTCCTGTATCAGTCTTTGGTGGTGGCTGCAGGGGTTACTGCAGGAATATGGGGTTTGTTACTACAAGCCATACAATCCCTGTTTGCCCAAAGTGAGAGATGTGTTTTCAGGCCATGTTGGACTCAGACAGGGTCGCCTCTTGTCACTTATCCTGTTTGTGCTTTTCATGTACAGGATCTCAAGGTTCAGCCAGGGGAGATGGGTCTTCAGTCCAGGAGTCACAGAGTTCCATCTCTGCTCTTTGTAGATGATGTGGTTCTGTTGGGTTTCTTTGGGCTGGGACCCAAAGCAGGTATTGGGGTGGCTTGCAGCTCAGTGTGAAGCGTTTGGGGTGAAAGTCAGCACCTCAAAATCCAAGACCATAGTTTCCTGCTGGAAAGGCCCAGAATCCAAGGTGCTTGAAGTCTAGAGTTATGTTTCTACAGTCTGTGATGATTTGGAGGACCACGTCATCAAGTCCAGAGTCAACACAGCCTTAAGTCTACCAGGAGGTCTTAGAGACCTTCAAGTTTCCATCTGCTGAGAAGCTCTATGGAGTTAGAAGATTTCCTTTTCCAGCAGAACCTGAACCCTGCCCACAGCACCAAAACTACCAGAAATTGGTCTGCTGACCATGGTGTTACGGTGCTTAATTGTACGGGCAACTAGTCTGACCTGAACCCCATAGAGAATCTCTGGGGTATCATCAAGAGAAAGATGCGCGCCATCAGAGCATCAATACAGACAAGCTGAAGGAGATATCAGGAACCTGGGGCCTCATGTATCAACGCTTGCGGCGCAAGAAAACCTTGCGTACGCCAAAATCGGCGCACACGTCCAGATTTATCATCGCGAAACGAGCGTCGGTTCCAGCGCTAATCAACGCAAAGTCAGGAGGTGGTGTAGAAATTGGCGTTGAGCCGATACTTGCGTTGACGGTGATTCGCACTTTGGCGACGCTGTGTGGCGGTGTTTGGTGACTCACTATGTGACAAGCGTGCACCACATCCCCGTGGCCGAGCAGCACGTCGCCCCACATCACGAACCAGCAGCAGACGGAGGGATGCGAGCTGATCCCTGCCGGGCCGCCGTCCTCGCGCGGGAGAATCTCATCGCCACAGTGTGAATGGGTAAGAAGTGAATACACAGTTCAATGAGCCAAATTAATTTATTTTCGCCACCAGACGCTCGAAGACATGTACAAGCCGTTCCAGCCGCTCGTTGATCCCCGCGATCCCCCTGATGATTTCTTCCTGATTGCAGGACCGCCTCCGTGAGGACCCTTCCACTGCGTCCGGGTGGTCCAGCGGAAGCGCTGCGGCTGGTGGACGCTCCACCGCTTGTCGGCGCGCTGGTGCTGATGCTGGTGCCGGGGGCCGGGGTTCCGCAAGCCGGCGACACGGCCGACACATTGATTTCTGTGACACAATAAAAATACTGGTTCATTTCAATTCCTGCTTCTGTGTATCTGTTGCATTTACATCTCTCTCTCCACGGTATCATAGGTAATGTAATCCAGTATTTCGAGGTCAGTTATGCACATTACAGTTGTTTATTACATAAAAAGTTATCGAAAAGTGAAGTTAAGGGCGAAGTATAAATCACGTCTAAAAATAGACTGAATCCCGATGTTGAAATGAAGTATAAACTTAGACTAGACGTCTAATATACGTCTTTTGCTCAGTGGGATGACAAAGCATGTGGACATTTGTGTGACACGCCACTTACCCTATAATAATAATCGCCACCACCCGCTGCTCAAACGGTGTGAGGGTCTCCTCCCCCACTCCAAGCGTTTTCGTTTTGCACTGACGCCACTGGACAGGCTGCCAAACAAAACACGCTGTCGCTCCTCCACCTCCGCCACCAGCACCTCCACCTCGCACGCCGTAAATTTAGTTTTTCTTGTCATTTTGTCTGTGTGCGAGGACAGGGAGACCCTATTTAAATAAATCTGCATATTTATAGGAGGGCGTAACGGGGACGGGCCCAGTCACTCCGACATCTGCGCTCAATTCCACGCTGATTGGGATTTATCAAGGAAACACACGTTGATTTCGGCGCCCGCACACATTGATACATACGGATTTTTTTCAGCGTGACGGACCTTGCGTGCGCTCGTTTCTGGTATGAGTTCCACGCAAGTATTGATACATAAGGCCCCTGGACTTCAATAAGACCCCAGCAAAGACACAGACTGACTGACTCCAGGACATGTTGATGCAGTTATTCATATCAAAAGGAGCCCTGACCAAAAACTGAGAGCAGAAATAAAGATAATATTCCCGAAGGTCCACATGTCAAATCCTTTTACAGTCAAAATTGATCTTGCATTCAAACACTTTGGGGATAAGGCAGTTTGTTAGATTGGTCAGGCCAGGCTACAATAATTCTCACTCAAAATTCAGACAGCATTAAAAATGGTAAATCCATCTTGCTCTATATCATCTTTGGTTGCTGACTTTGGACACAGTCTCTGTCTCTCCTGTGTTTCCTTTGTCTTTGTTTTGTTTTTGCTTCAAGTCTTTGGGAATTCATTTGGCTCATGGACCTGACAATAGTGATCTCCTCTATGGGGAAGCATCGACTCTGTGTCATCAAGTATTCTTGTAGTTTTTGTACAGTGGACACTCCCTGTTCCATCTTAAAATGAACTTCCCTTACATCTTATATCTTGTCCTTCTTCCTGTTCCTGTTCCCCCTCCTGTTTTCCTATGTAGTTATTCAGGTCTTTTAGTTCTTGTAGTACTTGTTTGTAATTGTGCTCATGTTTCAAGTGTTCAGGGTTTTGGAAGAGAGGCAAAACATTTTCAAAAACCTCAAACAAGTCCAGTTGCCCTTTCAACGAAGAATTGGATTACCATGACCTGGGTGAATGAGAACCTACACAGATGTCTTCAGTGTTGTTTTAATTTCTGTACTCTTTACACTGTGGTTTATCAGTTTGGTTTTTACTTCTTGTCCTCATGCTTTCTCTCTGATTTGCTACACTTGTCTCTTGTGTCACACCTGTGTTTGATAGCCCCAGGTGTCCTTCCTCCTATTGCTTGTAGTGATTCTTTTTTGTTTGATGTTTCTTGATTCTGGACTTTGTAAAATAAGCCCTTAAAAGTCCTTGGTTTTACTCAATTTCCTACAGACTGCATATTAGGGTCCTCCATCCTTATTTACTGCCAAATGTGACATTACATCATATTTATTGACTTATTATATGTCTTTATTTATCTCTCCTGCAGTTGTAGTATTAGATGCTCCCGAGGTTTTTAAATCATCTTTATAGACTTTTTACACTTTTATCATACAGAACCATTTATCTCTCATTAGACTGACCTTTTAATGGTTTGTACTGTCTATTTATCAGTCTCCTTCATAGCCATATTTTTTTAGAATTTATTTATGCTTATGTGGAGCCTGAATTTGTGTTGTACGAGTACAAACTATTCCTCCTCAGGGGATTAGTACGGTTAGAGTTAGATTGTCCAGCTGTACTCAAGCACAACATCTCCTCCATATAGACTGTTGGTGCTCACCATCTCTTACAGATTCTGTCAGCTGTCCATCTGTGTGCTGTCCTCCTGACTTGACACTGACTGCCTCTGGCACATCTCTCCAAAGTTCTCTGACAGACTGAACTGCCCTGTCAGCTTATCTCCAGCCTGGAAATGAAAACTACAAGACGGATACACTGTTATGAACTCTGTCAGGTCTGCCTTAGGGCCAGAATTAAGGTCTCTGTCCTGCATCTGAATCTGACTCATCATGATACTTATGAGTGTTTATTACACTTCTCTCAAGCATAAAACGAGTTTCACTAGACTGAAGACTGAGGGCTCTATTTCCGTGCCCGCCGGTGGCGCGGCGGACCCAGCGCAGTGGTATTTTCATCTGGCGGAACCTGGCACACAGCCAGTTTGGTATTTTTGTAGACTGAGGCGCACCAGGGGCTCGCCAAGCTAGGCGTGGTGGCGCGGCAGGGGGAGTTGTCGACAAAATCAGCCGGCGCAGTGGCATTTTCATGCTTGCCGACGGCGTGGAAAATACATTTAGATCTATAGATATATTCTGATCTATATCTGATCTGATGAGCATGTTTGGCACACGTTTGGACACACAACCTGACCGAATCAACACAGATGAAACTGCATTAAATTAAATATCCAGTAAACAGTCACACATGATGGAGTTAACAAGATATCTAATTTGTCCCCCTTTTTTATTCCTACTTTTTTATCGCGCAGCTCGACTCGGACATGTCTCCATGTCCTCTCCCCGTCCTGATGCTGCGGCGGCAAGGCTGAACAGATGATTTGTTTCAGTGATCAGATGAACTATTTAATTCGAAAATTTGAACAAAAAAGTAAAAGAAACTTTCATTCAAAATAACCTGTTTATCTAATGTCCTTACATCCTAAAATTCTGTGAATATTCAATCCGGAGTCAGGCCCACATACAAATATTATAATATTCAGTTGTGTGAGCTAAAATCATCCTACAGTGGAGGAAATAGTTATTTGATCCCCCACTGAATTTGTAAGTTTGCCCACTGACAGAGAAACTAACAGTCTATATTTTTTTTGGTAGGTTTATTTTCACAGTGAGAGATAAACTATCAAAAAGAAATTACAGAAAATTACATTATATGAAATATATAAATTGATTTGCATTTCATTGAGTGAAACAAGTATTTGATCCCCTACCAACCACTAAGAGTTCTGGTTCCCACAGAATGGTTAGACACTCCTACTCAATTAGTCACTCTCTTTAAAGACACCTGTCTTAACTAGTCACCTGTATAAAAGACTCCTGTCCACTTAATCAATCAATCAAGCAGACTCCAAACTCTCCAACATGGGAAAGACCAAAGAGCTGTCCAAGGATGTCAGAGACAAAATTGTAGACCTGCACAAGGCTGGAATGGGCTACAAAACCATCAGCAAGAAGCTGGGAGAGAAGGTGACAACTGTTGGTGCAATTGTTCGAAAATGGAAGGAGCACAGAATGACCATCAATCGACCTCAGTGTGGGGCTTCACGCATGATCTCACCTCGTGGGGCGTCAATGATTCTGAGGAAGGTGAGAAATAATCCTAGAACTACACGGGAGGAGTTAGTTAATGACCTCAAAGCGGCTGGGACCACAGTCACCAAGAAAACCATTGGAAACACATTACACCGCAATGGATTAAAATCCTGCAGTGCTCGCAAGGTCCCCCTGCTCAAGAAGGCACATGTGCAGGCCCATCTGAGGTTTGCCAATAAACACCTAAATGATTCAGAGTGTGACTGGGAGAAGGTGCTGTGGTCAGATGAGACCAAAATTGAGCTCTTTGGCATTAACTCAACTCGCCGTGTTTGGAGAAAGAAAAATGCTGACTATGACCCCTAAAACACCATCCCCACCGTCAAGCATGGAGGTGGAAACATTTTGCTTTGGGGGTGTTTCTCTGCTAAGGGCAAAGGACAACTTCACCGCATCAACGGGAAAATGTACGGAGCCATGTATTGTCAAATCCTGTGTGACAACCTCCTTCCCTCTGCCAGGAAAATAAAAATGGGTCGTGGATGGGTGTTCCAGCACGACATTGACCCAAAACATACAGCAAAGGCAACAAAGGAGTGGCTGAAGAAGAAGCACATTAAGGTCATGGAGTGGCCTAATCAGTCTCCAGACCTTAACCCAATAGAAACCTATGGAGGGAGCTGAAGCTCAGAGTTGCAAAGAGACAGCCTCGAAACATTTGTGATTTAGAGATGATCTGCAAAGAGGAGTGGACCAGAATTCTTCCTAAAATGTGCGCAAACTTAGTCATCAATTACAAGAAACGTTTGACCTCTGTGCTTGCAAACAAGGGCTTTGCCACTAAGTATTGAGTCTTTTTTGTTAGAGGGTTCAAATACTTATTTCACTCGCTGAAATGCAAATCAGTTTCTATCTTTTATTTAAAGTTATTTTCTCAATGTTCCTTTTGATGTGCAATCTGTCCCTGTTAAAATAAACCTACCATTATATTGATACTGTTCTGAGACTTTTCATTTCTTTGCCAATGGACAAACTTACAAAATCAGCAAGGGGTCAAATAATTATTTCCTCCACTGTATATGCCAACATCAGTGAAAGAGAGAGCCAGGCCATGCAGCGGGATGCGTCCTTTACACACAGGTGGTTCCTATTTTAATGCCATTATTGGAATTTATGTTGTGCTCTGTGTGCACAACCAACCTTTGTCACGTGGGGATAAAGATATGCAACTTAATGTGAGTGTGTTTATTTGTGGAAAAGGGTAATTGTCTTACTGGTAGGTACAACCTTACACACACCAAATCCCTCTTTGCTTATTTGAGAACGTGTGAAGGACGCCCTCTGCAGCGTTTACAGCAACACTTGTTGAGGGGCTGCCTTCTGTCGCCATTGTGTGGCATTGCTGTCTTCAGCCATCTCTTGATCTTTTTGACTACTTCACAAAAATTGTAATACGCCTCACCGTTGGGGGATTTAAAGGTGAGGAGAGGAGCTGATATGATTGGTGAAAACAGGTCTCGGCTGTGTTAAACCCACTCCACGCCTCTCTCCTCCCTTGCTACATCTTATGCCACTAGGAGGAGCTGAGTTAAGGAGGGGGGAAACAATTTACGCCGGGCAGCGCCGCTCACCAAAATACCAAAATGTGCTTGGGCACGCCTTGTTCAGTGCGGTGGACCTGACTTAGGTCTGCTGCGCCTACGCCACGCTGCTGGCGAGACACGAAAATAGAGCCCTGATTGTCACTCAGGCCTGAACTTGGTGATCAGGGGATTTGTGAGAAGGAGTTATTATACTCAAGACTGGATGCAATCAGGATTTGTTCCATGTTGTAACAGTCTCTGTCTGTAGTTCAGCAGATATAAACAGAAGAGGACAGAAATGTATTTTGGATTTTCTCCTTTTCTTCATTTCTCTAACCTTTTTCCCCTTCTGTGAGTATACAAAGGAACAATTTGCAGACAATTTGCAAAGCTTAAGCAGGTTTGCTGGCTCAGAGGGCTTTTCTTTTGTCAAACATTTCACCGTTTTCTGACAAAG